CATGTATTTATTGAGCACCCTTTTGTACTAAGAGCATATAGTTACTCTAGCTATGAGGAGGGATGTGTCTTTTCTTTTAGGAGAGAGCACACACAGAATTCCTTGCTGAACACCATGGTGCTTGTATATTTAGTTATTCATGATATTCTATTTTTGGGTTGTGGGAACTTCTTGCAGGGTTTTTCTAGCTGCTTTTTTTTTTTTTTTTGAAGTAGAAGTCAAAATAGCTTGGCTCAAGGCCATGTGAATTCTGGATTCTATTTGGTGACTCATAAGCTGTGAGACCTTCAGCAGGTTGCTCATCTCTCTGAACCTCTGTCCTTCAGTCAGTTAGATGGGGGCAGTAGGATCTGAATAACTATCACCTTCAGCTATGGTATTTGGTTTCCAAGGATTCAATGTACATTTTCTTTCTCAGGATAACAAGCCAGTACAGCTCAGCAGAAGATACCTCCTCTGCAGGGGGAGTTGAGGCAATTCTGTTCTTTAGCCTGATGGCCTTTATGGCGTGAGGCTACACACTGTACTGGGGTAGCAGATTAAGTCTTCTGGGTCTCACAGCCCGGAAGGACCTTTTACAAAGCACATATCTTTCTTCTCATTTTGCAGATTCTATCCTCAGCACCTCCCCTCCACCACCCCTTGGTAAAGAATAAGATCAGATATTCTCCATAGCTACAGTTTCAGCCATGCTTACCCAAATACACGCATTCTGCCTAGGAACGTTCTGTGTGAGAGTTTATAAATAGTCCTTTGTTTCCCTTGATCAATATTATTCTTCTGTTTCCTGTTCCCTATCCATGCCCTAGAGAGCTGGACGCTTTGCCAGTTTTCCCACTTTGGATCTGTGTCTCATTGGTTCCCAAGCTTCGTGGTGCCTTGTCCACTTCATCAATTCTCCCTGCTCCCCTCAAGACTGAAGGTGTGGGTTGTCCATCAAGGCAGGGGGGCACTCTCAACTACCTCCTCTCTTTGGATGCACCTCTGTCATGTACACATACTCCTGTTCTGCTTTTCAGTCCAGTCACAGGGTTTGGATTCTCCCAGACCTAAATCTCATGCTAGACAAACCACAGGAAGGTGGAATGAACCTGTAACTACTTCCCTTTACAGTTTGTTGCCAACTGGCAGGGACTTTGCGTGTGTCTATGTTGGGACTGAGGCTGGGAAAGCAGGATGTTTTAGGCGGGTGAGGAGCTGAAATAGAGCAAGCAGATCAAGCCCCTCCTGGAACGGAAATCACTCCAGTCCTGAATAGCGGAGTGAAATACTTGGAAAAAGGTAAGAGCTGCATGAGAGATTCTGGTGTTTAAGAGTGTGCCACCCTTTCCCCATTGACCTTTTCTTCTGAACGTGAGCAAGAGGAGATAAGGAGACTGTGCCTGGACCATTTTCTGAAGGCGTTGCAAACAAGGCACTTTGTAAAAAGAATAATGGTCTGGCTAAGGACGCCTTTCCCCAGCTTCCTCTTGGGTAATGGGAATCGTTGGTCCAAACTCTGTAGCTTCCTTTCTACAGTGAATCTCAAGGGAAAATGCCACTTTAATTGAAATAGCCAGCTCAGTATAGCTTTGAAGTTGGTCACCTGACATGTTATAGATCATGTGTCCTGGGATCTTTAACAATCTAAACTTGTACTAATGAGTCTGCTAATACTCCTTCTTTTAAAACTATATAACTACATCCTTTGTCCCCAGCCATCGTCCTACCAAGAATTCTTTATTTCTTTCCCCTAGGGCAAAGGGGTAGTCTCTAACAAATGGCCAAGTGTTAACCCTTCCCCCCTTCAACAAAAATCTTTCTAGGAGAATTTTAAAAATTGAGGTTGGTCTAGAGAGAAAAGTCATTTGAGGGAAATGGAGTTGATTTTTTTCCTGTTCTGAGAAAAATCAGTAAGAACTCTGGTAGAGCTGCAATCAAGGGCTGCGTGGTAGATTTCCATAAGATGACTTGTGGTTCTCTCGGCCACTAACCTGTAGTTAAGAACAGCTCCTGTATGTCACACAAGTTTCATGTTAGGGGCAAAGCTCAGAGAGACTTGACCATTGTTACTCTGGGAAAGGATAGGGGTATTTGGCTAGGAAATTTATCAGCTTGAGTGTGTGATAACTCTTAGGGACCAGAATAACACAACTATTCCTTGTGAATGCATGCAGACTTGGTGGGAGAGTCAGAGAATTATAGGATCTCTGACTTTAAGCATAGGATTTGGCTTTAAGCATCCACAGGCTATCCTTAACTAGCTTGCATTACTACTGATTCTATCTGTCCATGTCCTCCCAAGCTGTATCCCTTACCTCTTGCTAGACATCTTTCCAAGATACCCATACCGGACCAGGATGCCAGGTCTCTTATGCATCAGGGGTTCATTCCAGTCTGGCAAAGACTTCAAAGTCAAAGACCCAGCAAAACCTGGAGCTCAGATGGTATGAATCCAATGGCTTTGGGTTACCTGAGTTACAAATGTGATCTGGGTAGCTACCAGCTTTTCCTTCTAGGGAATCTTGGGCTAGAGGGTTGGGATGGCATAAGGCTTTGAAGAGAACATGGGAATGGTTCCCTGAAGCCATTTCACTTTTCATAGAGAAAACTCTAAGTTCTGGGGAAATGAGATGACCTGCTCTGGATTAGCCACTGAAATATTTGGCTTTGGGACTGATTTGAAAGATACACAGATTTAATAAAAGTCTGCATTCTGACATTTGACCTGGGAGGGGGATTATCATGGCCTATTGTTCTGTTGAACTGTCATGGTTTCAGCCAAACCTGATATCTCAGAAAGGCGTTTTCCAGAAGCTTCATTGTTTGCTTCAGGCTTATGGTAAGAATTGGACAGAGTTGCATCCACCCAGGGTTCCTGCAAACCAGCTTTCTGCTAGCTGTGTGGGAAGATTTTTAACACTGGAGGGAAAAATGTCTTCTCTGGCTTGGCTGGCCAGTCCCCCTCCATGTCCCTGATCGTGAAGAAGAGGCCCCCCTGGGTACCTGTTGGAGAAGTGATTGGGCAGCTGTATGACTTCAGTGATGGCTTCCGGGTTGCGCTTGGCGATGCTGCAGACATTCAGCTTGCTGTAACACTCCTCCTGCACCTCCGCGATCATCCTCTGGAAGGTAGAACACCTCCGAATGGCAAGGAAAACCTTGGAGGTGATCCCATTGGCGATGCATTTTAAGCTCTCTTTGACAAATGCTTTTCCCTGTCAGGGACAAGAAGATAAGGATTAGTGTGCCCTGTTAGAAGAGGTCTGGGTCTATGCTGCAGGGACCTTCAAGGAGACTTGCTTCAATAGCGAGGCCAAGAGCTAAAAACGAAAAAGCCCTTCTCCCTAGGACTTTCTTGAACACACATCTCCAAAGAAAGGAAATGTGATGGGAGGAAGCCATCATCAACTGTTCTGAGGTGTAAAGATGGTCCTAATCAGTTTTATGTTCTTGGTAACCCAGAATTTCAGACAGCATGCTAGGGCATTCAGAGAAGACCATTTTTATTTCCTCTCAAAGCAGAGATGCTTTTCTGCTAGTCATCTCTCCTATTCTAAGCCAGCCTCTATCAACTCCTTACTCCTGGTCTAAATTGCTCCCCCCATAACCTCCCCCTGCCCCCGGGCACACGTGTGTGTGTGTGTGTGTGTGTGTGTGTGTGTGTGTGTGTGTGTGTCTGTCTGTCTGTCTGTCTGTCTGTCTCTCTATACCCTGGGATGGGCCTTTTGAGTAGGAGGCTGGGAAGCATGCTTGTCTCCCTACAAGGTAGGCTCCTAAGAACAGTACTGAGCACCCTGTCAAATGACAAGCAGCCAGTGGAGTAGAGGTCAAGGTCGCGTTACCTGAGTGTCAAATTTAGCAGCACTGTACAAGAAGGATTTACAAATGTCGTACATCCCGTCTGTGTCACATGTGGAGTTTTCCAGGCATGCAAAAGCCCCACAGCCGACCTGCAGGGCACTGTTGAGGCAGCGAACCACTTCAGCTGAAAGAGACAAGCAGAAGCAGTCTGGGTCAAGCCAAAGGGCTCTGGATCCAGTAGGAGTAGAGGCCAATACCCAGGGCACAGGATCTGAACTTATCCTCGAACTTTGACCTTGGGTTCTATTAGATAGAACAATTTGAAGAAAAGTGTGTGTGTGGGGTGGGGGCGGGTGGTGAGAAAGGGGATGGGCAGGCTCTTTTTGCTTCTAAGAGTCAGAGAAGAGAAGATGACTTTGACGTCCCCCTCAGGTACATGCTTTCTGGGTCTCACCCTTCTGTGCATTTTGGTGGCTATAGAAGTAAGGTTAGAGACCTTGTCATGCACAGTGCCTTCTGGCGGTGACAGGAATCAAAGACTGTCACTTGGAACTTGAAAGCATGGGTAGGCTGAATGCAGTGACTGAAGGTCAGACTCACGATGGGGTCAGGGGAGGACCAGAGAATCCAGCTGCCTTTTGAAAAATGCAGTCTGGAGTAAAAAGCATGGGTATTTTAGTCCAAATGGCAGAGAATAATTTGCTGAGTCCACTCGGAAGGAGACCCTTCCCAAAGAGGGATTTTAACCCATGATGGCATTGGTAGAAAGGAATCCGAGCCCTTTGTATCCACCCTAGCTCCGCAACCACAGCCCGGTGCTTAGAGGTATGAATAAGCTCTCATATTAAAAAGGCTTCTTTTCAAAAACGAGAAACACAGGTGTGGAGTGACAAGCCCAAGGAGCCCCTTGTGCAAGGCTGGAAGAAAACCGCAAAGAACTTGCACCAGGCTTTCTGCATTCTGGATAAGATCTGCCATAAAAGTAATTTCTCTCCCACAGAAGGAGGGGTGTTCTGGCAGGCAGCTCGGCAAGCAATGATCTGTAGCCTTCATACCGTAGGATTCTCCTCCCAGATCAAAAGCGTGGTTTGGTTAGGCTAGGCTTCCCCGCCCCCCTCCCACCACCCGCAGCCTCTGGGATGTTACAAGTCATTTCCCTAATTATATATTTCCACGGGTTCAAATTATAACTTTGCTTTAAGCAGTTTTAATATGCATTAGGGCTGCTATTGTTTTAGGGCAAGCTTGAATTGTGAATCACGGCATCGCTATAGCAACTAAGTACAAAAGGAAGCGAGGCAAGAGGCCTCCTCTCGGCAGGGACCTGCGCTCTTCCAAGGGAGAGCATCTGCCCCATTTTGACACCTGCGGTCCCATCTCTGCTGACAGTTGGGGAGAGGAATGAGCGGGGAGCCAAAAGTCAAGGGGCAGAGTGCTCCTAATGCTTCTGCCTCCAGAGGCCAGGACCATATACAGTTAACTGGTACTGGAGTCAGGCCGAAAGTAAGACCTTCCCTTTGGAGAAAGAACTGCTTCGGTTCACAAATGCACTTCCTTCTAGGGGCCATGGGCTGCCTGGGCGATTGAATGGAGCCGGTTAGAGCAAGGAAGGAGACAGGCAGCCCTGTACGGAATGGGTGTGTGGGTCCCTCCCCCCCACCCCCCCTTCTTTCTGAATCCGCCCTGGATTTTTTTTTTCAGACTTGAGGACTATGGTTCCACAAATCAGTGTGGAGAGGGGGCTTGCCTGTGTGCTCTCTGAAGAGGTACAGAAGTCAAGTTACAAGGTCTTAAAGGAGCAGAGAGAGGGATCGCAGCAGGTAAGCCGCGCATCACCTTAAGACCGGCTCGTGGAGTATGGAGAGCTGTGAGGCATGCCAACATTCAAGCCTTTCCCCGCCCCCTCCCCCTAACAAGAGGGTACGTGCCAGATTTCAGGCAATCAGGCTAGGCTTATGCAATGAAATACCCTCAGCAGAGCGCCCAGCTTCTTCGTTAGTTGCATGCAATTTATTAAACAAAGGAACTCCACTTCCTAAGGCTATTGGATTACACTGGCAGTTCATTACCACCAGGCATGAAGCACATTTATTACCGAGATCAGCCGTCACAGACACACATGCAAAAGTGAGAGAAGGCAAATGAGGACAGCTCTTTGGGGGGAGAAACCAGCCCTGGGTTTGCTGGCTTACCTGAATTTTGAGCCGCCACCCGGGATTTTCTGGGGCTCACAGAGTCATTCTGTTCCGCCTCGTGCGTGGCAGCAGCACTGATGACCAGCACCAGAATCACTGCTGAGTTTTGGAGCATTCTCTGAGAAGTTTCCGCTAAGTTGTTGGCTTTTTTTTTTCCTCCCCCCCTTTCCTCTTTCCCTCTCCCGGCTTGAGTTAAGATGTGGATCTGGATATACTGAAAGCTTAGGTGAGGATTTGAGGAAGAATTTTTGTGTGTGTGGCTGGCTGGCTGGCTGGCTGGCTGGCGGCTGCTGCTGCTGCTGCTGCTGCTGTTGCTGCTGCTGCTGCTGCTGCTGCTGCTTCTTACACCTCTGGTTTTTGCAAACTGGGGGCCCAAGAGCTGCACCCAGGGATTTTATAGCCGTCTTATCGGTCCTCAGGATCAGAGACCAATCAGATCCTTCAACTGGTCCGTTTAGCCAATAGGCGGGCACGCTTATTCAGCTGGAGCTTTTTGACTTCTTAGAAATATTTTCCAGCAAATTGAAAGTACCTGCTGCCAATGATTTATATGTGTGTGTGGCTGTGTGTGCAGGGATGTGTGAAAGAGCTATTTTCACACGCTGAAGTGACAACTCTGTATTGATCAAACCAAAAGGAAAAAAAAAACCACTTGAAAAGCCCTTCAAGGTACTTGTGAAATTCATCTTATTTTTTTTTTTTTAAGTGAACCACTAGGAGGAAATGGATGTTGGGTGCTTGATAGGGAGATGTGATGCAGATTAGAATTTAATCAAATTATAGCAGCTCTCTAATTTTAGTAGGCTGTTCTCGGTAAGAGCGCAACATCTTTTTTTTTTTTTTTTTTTTTTTACATTTGTGTGTTCACTTGTAGTGTGCATCTTTGATTTCCTTGCTGTGATCTGGAGGCATCTTGAATTCCCACTGATACGTGTAAGCCATGGCAGAAGGATGTATGGGAGTGCAAGAGCCTAGTGAACTGAGGCGCTCTGGTTCCAGCTCCCAGCTGTTCCCTCAGCTCCCCTGGGGTATTTATTAAACCTCTGACCTTGGCTGTGTCCTTTTACCTTGCTGTTCCACTTCTCAAATCTTATTCACACACCTCTAAAGTGATATGATTCCCGGAGAACATAAAATTTTGAAAGGTCTCATGTAGCCCAGGCTGAACTTGATACATAGCTAAGGGTGACCTTGAACTCCTGGTCTTCTCACTGTCTCCATCTTTCTCATGCTGCAATGACAGGAATCTGCCACCATGTGGTGCTGGTGTTCAAACCCACGGTTTTCTGCATCCTGGTCTGCACTATATTAACTGGCTGCATCCCTAGTCCTGGATCACCCATCAACACTGTCTTCATAGTCACCACTGGCCCTGCCAACTCCAGGAGTGTTGGTTACTGTCTGTGCACCCAGGCTCACCCACTCACTCACACCACACTCCACTGAGGGACATGGCAAATGCCTGAAAATTAATAAACTGTGTATTCAAGCCCAGCTGCTTCATAATCACGTTGAAACAATGAGCTGGTCAAAGCAAGACTAACCCTGCTGGGTAAACCAGTTCACTTCTTGGAGGTTGGGGAAGAGGTGCACGAGGGAGTGGGGGGGGGGAGGCGGGACTGGGAAGAAAGGGTAGGGAAAGACCAGAATGTGTAGGAGAGGAGACTGATAAACTGGAGACTTAATGGGAAAATTATAGTGGAATCACAAATCATGCCCAGCATAGCAGCTCATATTCTCTTATAAGTGGAGTGTAGGCAACAAGAAGGCATGTCCGTAAGTTGTGAAGGAGGTTAATGATCCATGAGAGGACTTCTCAGGGTAGGAAGGTGGTCATTAAGGGCTGGGGTGAGGTGAAAGGATTCAACAATAAAATCTTGAATATTTTTCAGGAGGTAAGTGAGAGAGCCTTTGGCAATTCTACAGACTTGGACAGCATGGTCTTGCAAAGACACAGAGCCAGTGGCTTCAGGTTCAATCCTGAAACTTCACATGAAAGCTAAAACAAACAAACAAACAAACAAACAAACAAAACAAACAAACACTGATTCTGTCCTCACAAGTCAAGCCAAGAATCAGGTTTGCCTCTGAGTTGTGTGATTGTGTGTGTGTGTGATTGTGTGTGTGTATGTGTAGGGAGTGGGTTTGCTAAAATAATTTATGACCCATCCTTTGCAAAAAAGAATTTCTAGGAAGCAGGGATGTTTGCTATAACAAGGGCTAAAAGGAATAAAAGACACAGAAAATATGTTAAAAATTGGAAAAATTTCAATTTCAATTAGTTAATTTCATCTTTTGATTGATTAAATGTGCAAACTATTTAATATGTCAGTCCAGTTTTTGTTCGTCAATGGTATTGTTTCTCCAGTACCTTCTAGGCGTAATACTGTTCAGTGTCTCAGGGAGGATAAAAGTGAAGAAATCTAGAAGGCAAACATAATTCTTGACCTGAGGCACTTGAAATTTCATTGGAAAGATGACCAACGTTAGGACACTTTCTATAAGTTCAAAATGTCATGACTTTGCCTGAGAGACAGCTAGAGATTTGAGGAAGGTTTCATACTTCAAGAAGGAAGTGAAATTTTAAGTTAGAAAAGTGGGGCTAGCTTATGTTTCATAAAATTCTTATTCTAGAAAGCTCTGAGGTTGGTTGGTGATGGCCTTAGGCAGGAAAAAGCATATATGGCATTGCAGAATAGATCACCCCATGTTACCTTTCAAAGAGGGAATAAGAAGATAGGTGCAGATTCTACCAGAAGGTCTTGACTTCCGTTTCTGAGTAGCCTTTACTTCCTTAGCCATTGTGCACTGCTCAAGGATCTACACTTGACCTCTGGCTGGTCCACCAGCTTGGAAGGGTGATGGCTTTCCTCTGATAATAAAGTTTCTTTTTCCAGCTCTCTGAAGCTCTTACCAGAACACAATGTCCTACAAGTATCAGGATGTGTTGTGCTCGTGTGTGTGTGTGTGTGTGTGTGTGTGTGTGTGTGTGTGTGTGTGTGTTTGATGTGGGATTTTCACTCCTTATTTTGCTCACTTACAGCTATATCTATATATCCAGAGGTTAGTTCCTAATTGTGCCAAGTGTTTCACAATGGCAGGTAGGCTGTCATTCAAAGAAATATAATGGTGATCAGCCACACTAGTTTAATGAAACTAGTGTGTAAGCACCACTGCAAAGTGCACAAGTACCACTGCACTTGTCAAGGGAGGGAAATGACAGCAAGCACAGGTACCCAAAGCCAAGTCCCTTCCCATAAGCCCATAGCTTGAGGATATCAGAACATGCACCATCACCGTGCTGTGTGCTGTACTTTGAGACGGCAGGGGCAGAACTCTTGGCAACTCTGGGGGTGATATATAGCTTCCTTTGCAACTTTCCTGGGAGGTGGGGTGTTGAGAGAAGCCGGAAGAATCTGGAGGTCAGTTTTCAGAATCTGAGATTTATCTTATAACAGGAGGCATCAAGACTCTTTAACAGGAAGATTCTGCTCAGGGTGGGGCTTGTCATCATACAGACAGTGGCTTGGAGAAGAAGGGTTGGAGCTTCATGGGCATTTGTGTTGCTGAGATTGCTATGGTGATGGGAAGGAAGGAGGATCAATATGAGAGGTGCTTTGAATAAATTCATCTTAGGAATGAACCTAAAGACATTCTTGGAAAAGACCCTTCTCGCAGTTAGGTAAGTCATGCACATCAGACTTTTCCTGCCCTAGTTTGGCTATGATTTTTTAATTGCAAGAAAGATCTAGCATTTCCATAAGGCAGGCGTTTTCTGGCATTCACATAGGGTTGTAGATTACCTAACAAAAGTCTTGACTGTACTTTCAGTGGGTGGGGAGCTTTCCAAAGCCAAGCTACACAGTTGGAGGTGCCTGTGGGGGCAGTGGGTGGGAGGAGAAGGTACCTCTGCGTATTGCCCCCAAGCCAAGAAAGTGCTAAAAAGCATGAAAGAGAAGTTGCCAACAGCGAAGGCTGGTGACGGTGCCCTGGCTGCACTCGTGGAGTGCTGGCTTGTGTTCAGTGAGAAGATTAAGCCAAAAATCTCTAAGGCTTTGTTGGATTTGGCTAGCTGCAAGCTGGGCAGGGAACAGCTCTTTTGCCTTTTTGGTGCGAGGAGTCCAAGCCCGCCCATTTCTTAGTGGATGTTCTGTTAACAGGATTCAAAGCCCGCAAGGTTGGTCAGACATACTGACCAAGGTTGGACCACTTTCCTTTGGCGATTCCTGGTCTGTGTGTTTTCTGTTGGATTGTTAACGCATGCCTTCCTAACCTCAAGATAAGAAGGGGAAATGGAAGGAGGAAATTGAGGGGAAAATACTTTTCCTCCTTTTTTTTTTTAAAATTTTCCTATATAGATTTAGTGTTTTCAGTGTAGACCTTAAATCCCCAAATGAGTCTGACTCTTGCACAGTGCAGATTACTTTAAATTCTACCACGGATGATGGAGCAAGGAAAGAAGTATATTAGGAAGGCAAACTCATTTTATGCACCTGCCCCTTCACCTGCCACACCCTTTATCTCCACCTCTGCTGGCTTCTGGAGGGTCACTGTGTGCCCAGCTCTAGGCAGCAATAATGGAGAATGCAGACTGATTTGGCCTTTTCCTGTGCTCCAGGAGATCCAAAGCTAGTTACTAAGGGATTTTCTGGAAATGCTATAAGGCAAGTGGCTTGGAGCAAAGCATATAGATTTGGATTTGTTTATCATTTACTGGGTGGTTTTTTTTCCCTTGTATGCCAGGCATGGCTGCAGAGACATATTGGCCGGGAGAAAAAAGGAAACCAGGACCCAAAGAGAACATACTAGGGAAGAAGCATGGCTTACTTTCACGATGCTGTGGATGTGGAAAAATCTGAGATTTGTTTGTTATAGTAGCAAGGACACCAGAGTTGCAGAGAAAAGCATTCATGCTTAGATCCCTGCTCCTCAAGGTACAGTGAGTTGGGATGGGGTTAGGAAAGAGAAAAAGACAAGATGACCCGACAGGCTTAAACCAGAACAGACAAGTTGAAATTGGCCTCCCTCCTCTTCTCATTCCCTCCAGGTCTAAGTTGTGATGTCACTCTTTATCATGGGGGACATGCTCCTCCCAGACCCAGGAGAGCCCGTGAATCTTTAGCACACGGAGAAGCTTGAGAAGCAAGCCTGAAGAGGTGTGTGTTATCCAACTTGTCCTTCAGAAGAACCAGTTGTAAGACCTTGAGTGACATTCCTCTGTTGAGACGCATGAGGGCGCTCAAGCCAACTGACGATGTGGAGATGTTTCCTAAATTAAAAAGGAGAGAGAGAGAGAGAGAGAGAGAGAGAGAGAGAGAGAGAGAGAGAGAGAGAGAGAGAGAAGAAGAAAAAAGAAAGAAAATAAAAAGAGAAAAAGGAAAATCTATGAGCCTTGACTCTGTTTGACTGGCTATTGTTTCAAGACCGGAGGATGCTTCATAGGGTGGGAGATACGCTTGTTTGCTGAGGAGCATCCCCTGAGACCTACAGTGAACGTGCAGTCCATGTGCTTGCATGTGCCCCAACATATGCCATCCCAGTGCTGTCCCCTAGAGAAATAAACCTTACGCACATGTAAGTGTTTTTCCTCCATCCCTATGTCCAAACTGTGCAGGTCAGTTGAGGGGGGTATATCAGATATCACACCAGCATGCTTGAACTCCTCAATTTACAAAGGAGATTCTAATTCAAGGTGGGAGTGAGCTCTACTTTCCCATACTGAAGGAAAGGAAGGCCTGTTTCTCACCCATTTTTCTGTTTAGTTTTTTTTTTTTTCTTTTAGCCATTTCTATTTGAGGCTGAATAGCTTGTCACGGCACTGCTGTCATCTCCTGGTGTCTTAGATGTCTTCCTTGGGAGTACAAGAAACAGCCAAGGTGCACAGTTTACAACTTACGACTTTACAAAGGGATTTGTATCTCGCTGGGTGCAGGAGTCCATTTAGAACCCCCAGGAATGGAGCTGACTCTCATGCTGCCTATATTTGAGAGTTGCTGGAAAATTCTTACAGTGAGAGTATCAAGATTTATCACGTGGCATCACCTCCTCTGTCTGCCCGTGTACGGAATTGTGTTAATATTGTGAGACTATGGTGGAGTTGTGGGGAAGGTCATGAATACTCAAACCAGAGTGCAAAGCAGGATCTGCTCATAGGACAGGGCTGGTTAAGGATGTTAAGAGTTAGTGAAATAGAAAGAAAAGAAATGCCCGCTCTCACAACTGGTGTTGAAGTATCATTCTGACATCTTTAGCCTTAAGCCAGCTTGTCATTTGCAAAATGCTGTCCAAGTACAAAGGAGAGTCTTGCAGCCATTTCTGAGTGCTAGACACATCTATTATTGCTAGTTTATTGGCCAAGAAAGGAGGTGTGTATACGGGGTGATGTGGGGGGGGGATGGGCAGGCTTTTATACAAAGTCATCTGACAAGTCGGCAGAAGGACCAGATTAATAGAGCACAGATTTTTACTTGATGTTTGCAAATCCTGCCAAGAGGTTTATTGAGGTGATTCAGACTAAGCTGCATTTAATATACTTTAGGCTAGAGTATGATTAAGATACAGCAGTTGCTGGCTCTAGATGGGTATTAACGGTGTATTGGTATTTCCTGATTACTTGATCAATTATTCTATTAAAGCAGCAGAGTTCAGATTGCCCAGTGAGATTTCACATGGTAGGGATTTTTATCATGGTGGCAATAAATGGTCACCAAGTGCCAATTCATTTGCTTACCACGGAACACATTTCTTGTCAGTTGTTCAGAAAATGAACTCTCTCATTCCCTTTAAAAATTAACTGTAAGGAAATTCAGTGGGATAAATGGAAATCCAAATGCAGAGGAAACCTGCTCTGCCCTCCAGGTCAGCATTTTAGAGAACTTGTCATCCTGCACTCTCCAGAGACAGTCATAGGGAGGGGGGAGAAGAAGGAAGAGGAGGAGACGCAGGAGGGGGAGGATTTTAGATGACCTGGTGAAATCCTTCCTTCAGTGCAAAAAATGTCATCAATGGATTCACTAGGATAAGAAAATTTAGCTTAAAAAAAAAAAGTTAAAAAGGCAGGGGGAGGGAGCACTGGAAACATGGTCCCTTTGTTCAGCAAAATTTAAAGATAGTTCCATAGTTTCTCCCCTCTTTGTGCAAACAATAATTTCTTCAGGTAGTCATCCTCACTGCGTCTACTTTTCCTTATTAGATTAACAAAGGAAGGGCAGCCCTCTCCCCCCACGTGTGCGTGCGTGTGTGCGTGTGTGTGTGTGTGTGTGTGTGTGTGTGTGTGTGTGTGTGTGTGTGTGTGATTATGTGAGTGTGTTCACTTGGTGTTGAAATCACTCACAACAGACTTTGGATTATGGGAGACAATGAGAAATGAGTCATTCCATTTAAAAATCAAACATAAGAAATGAGAAGAGTCTAGTTCCTGCTGTGATTTTTAGCAGAGTTTGAAAAATAGGTTGTTTGAAAGAATGAGCTTTTGTAAAAGTCAGAGTCTCTGTCTCTCTGTCTTTCTATTTTTTTTTCCTGCAAAGTAGTACAGATGCTGACTGACAGCTGAAGCTCATCCATGAGCCCAGCATCTTTCCAATGACCCTGGAAGGTATGTGCAGGGAGAGTCATCTCCCTGGAAACCTCCACTACTCTTGGTCGTGTCCACAGTGGCCAAAACTCTGAGCGTGCCTACCTTTGCATAGCATGAACAAATCTTTTCAGATAAATGCCATTTCTTTAGAAGAGCTTTCAAAGCCATGGGATTATCCTCCGAGTCCCTCCCCACACTCCTGAAATGCTACCATTAGCTATCTCTGTGGAGGGAAGCCAGAGAGCCCCAGCTTCTTTAAGAAGGTCAACAGAGAGCCATTGGCTGTAGGATAAGTGCTCTGATGGATTTTCAAAGGGAGGGGTCAGCTTACTGAGAAAGAGCTGAGCTTTGCTACAGGGTGCAGCAGCTATTGCCAAAACAGGAATACTCAGTGTGAAGAATACGAAGTGTAGTGAGTGTGGGCATGGAGGGCCATGAAGATGGAAATGGAAGATTTCCAGCCTTACCCCACTGCTGGGTAAACTAAATGGATTCAGAAACTGCCCTAGTGACAGGGGTGTATCTTGTGTCTTGGCTTTTTATTGGTTAGAAAATTTTCAACTCTAGGGTGTGTGTGTGTGTGTTTGTGTGTGTGTGTGTGTGTGTGTGTGTGTGTGTGTGTGTGTGTGTGTACAGTTTAAGGGGACAGTCCTTATCAAAACCACCACTGTCATTTCTGAGTTCTAGGTTTTCATTCCTTCTTTTCGTTTTCTTCTTCATGCTAAGCAAGTATTCTACCATTGAATTTTAACCTCAGACCTTTCATACTTTTTATTTTGAGACAAATGTCTCTCAGAGTTGCCTAGGCTGGCCTTGAGCTCATTCTGTAGTCAAAGCAAAGTTTATCTTGGAATTCTTTTGTCTCAGCCTCCTGTGTAGCTCAGATTACAGGTGCCACCAGGCTAGTGTCCTAGTAAGCTTCAGCTGTCAGCTTGATAAAGCCTAGAGTCACCTGATAAAGGGAGCCTCAACTGAACAACTCCTCAGTTGTTGGCCTGTAGGAATTGTCTTGATTATTGATTGATATAGGAGGGCCCAGTCCACCATGGGTGGCACCATTCTCTTGGCAGGTGGTCCTGGGATATATGAGGAAGCTAGCTAAGCCATCAAGCAACATTCTTCCATAGTTTCTTCCTTTAATGATGGACTGTCCCCTGTAAGATTCAATAGACTCTTTCCTGTCCTATGCTGCTTTTTAATCATGGTATTTGTCACAGAAAAGAAACTAAATTATAACAGTTGGACTTCTAGGTTTTCATTCTGGTAGATCCCCAAAATCACAGCTTACCAATTAGGTTAAAATGTACTTAGGTGCTGGGATAACTATATTTTTAAGTGATTGTATTTACTATGTTGAATGGCAGTTAAATAGTTCACAGCATTACATTTTAGGTAAATATCTATTTACCCAAATATTTAGTGCACATTTTTTTTTCAGTTTTCTTCTGGCCATTTTCCCCTCCTAAGGAATCAGCAATTTTCCTTCCAAATCTCAATTACATTTAAGTCTTTAGGAAGCTCATAGATGCTGGGCACTGTCTTATAGTGTCTTGTAAATAGGATGGTCCTAGGTTCTGAGTTCACGGAGAAGTCGTGAGAGGGGAACCAGAGGCCCCTTCATTCACACTCACTTTTCCAGAGTGCCCCCATAGTCCTATGACGTGAACCAGAAAAACAGACCTCATGCCCAAGTTCATCCCAGTATGGAGCGTGCTAGAAGCATCCATCCCTGTACGGAAGTCATCCAAGAATCCTGGAAGAAGGAAGCTTTTATTTTAAATCATGGAAGCCAATGTTCCCCAAATGTATTTGGTTTAGATAGCCTTGTTTTGGAAATCGAGCCATGCTTATTAAAGTCCCGCAGAACTCATGTTTCTTGGCACTGACTTTGAGAAATGCTGGCTTAAAGGCTTACATTCTGGTAAGTCCTTTGGGTTACATCAGTGTTCCTCTGGTCCGGCTTTCATTCCTGTGGTGGTACCTGCTTTTCTTTACAGTCCTACTCACAATTAGCTCCACTTGATCTAAGTGTCTTCAGGGACACTGAGCCAGTGGAATAAGAATACACACACACACACACACACACACACACACACACACACACACACACACAGAGAGAGAGAGAGAGAGAGAGAGAGAGAGAGAGAGAGTTAGTTTACTAGAATGGCTTTCAACTGATAGGACTGAGTAGCTCAGCAATGTTTACATGTGGTGATGGGAGAGGCTGAGAAACCCACTGCTGCTCAGCCTATGAGACTGGGTGCCTCAGCAATCTCAATCTGATGCCAAAGACTGGGAAGATTCCTGAAAAGTCATTGGTCTTCAGTCTACAATGGAACCCAAAGAGCCTATAGTCTGAAGTCAAAGAAGGATGCAGCAGCAGCAGCAGCAGCAGCAGCAGCAGCAGCAGCAGCAGCAGTAGCAACAGAGATGCATTCACCAGCAAGAAATGAAGACAGGCAAACAGGCTGCATTGATTTTTCCTTGGACCTCTTTGTGTCAAGGAGGCCCACCTGCTCTGGTGGAGGATCTTTCTCATTTAATCCATCCTTCAATTTCCTGTCAGGTTCCAGATTCCATCAGATTGACCCCCACTGGAGCGCTTAAACTTTTCTATTAGAAAATATGCAATAGATGATTATTTTACTGGGATTTGTCATTCCAGTCTGTGTTTTGGTACTTACTAGCTTTCCTTCTTCTTTGCATC